CATAAATTAAACCCTTTTGAAATGCGCTATGCTTTCCGCTTCCAGTCAGATTCGTAAGGATAGTTGAGTGTTTGACCCATGCGAAGATCTAAAGGCAGTGACGATGGCTTGAGGGTGGAGCAATTTTAGTGATGTCATTGAGCGTGATTGATGGAAGGACGTTACGAAGTGAATCACGCCGCTTGCTGAGGCGTCCAACCCACCAATGACGTCATCAAAACCGATCCGCCCCTCGGCTATCGTGTTCACAGCCTTCAAGCCGCCATTCCACTAGAGTTGACTAACCGGTACTATGAGGGAAGATAAAGACACTGAATTGCATGCGCTCCCAAAAGTACAAGCGACCGATGCAGCTAAACTGGCAAAATTTGACCTAATCAAGAGAAATATAGAAAGTACCTTGCAAAAAATAGCAGAAATATCCATGAACCAGGCAAGGCGAACACAAAAAGTGCCTCTTCAAGTTCATGAAGTTTAAGAATACGAAATGGTATACACATTAGTATACAAATGTTAGCCACACAAAACACCGCTTTTGCTGGAACCGTTTTCTGAAAAACGTGACAGTCAATCAATAATTCACGTACGATCGATCGATAATAAGAAACGCCGGAGCTAAGGTCGTGAAGAAACTTACCAAGTTCCTAAAATACCCGGCTATTCCTTGAGTACGAATCTCTCCCAACTGTTGAAAGAATACAAAAAATATACAATTTATAATCGTTAACACTTCGCAAATGCTTCGAACCTGAAAAAAACTGGCCTTATTAGGGCTCGCAAATATAAAATACATTATGCAGGGTAATTCAACCCAATATACTCCCATAACTGGATTTCAAGGAATTTCATGAAATCGGCGCCAGCCTGTGGCACATTCCATGGAATCTCTTATTTCACCAGAAAAGGTATTGCAATGACCGAGTAACGAGAAGTGAGGGCAAGGTCAACCGTCCGCCGTTCCAATTTCAAGAATTTGACGGATTCCCCCCCCCCCTCCCCCTGAGAGCTGATCTCGTGCGGCTCCCTACCACTATCGTCAGCATAGGGGGAGTCTCCCGATAGACCCTACCTTCCCACCTTTGAACACCACTCCTACCATCATGCGTGTTCGGGAGAGATATCTTGCCAAAGGAACAGCAAATGTTCTAATTTTTATCCTTGCCGCTTCTTTCTTTCGCCAAAATCATCAATAGACCCGTCAAACACGACTTCTTCACAACTCTCCAACTTCCAAGAATACGACCCCTTTTTCAAGCTTTTTTCCCTCACCAACCCCGAATACGGCCCCTCCAAAAACAACTCATATGACTCTCCTTGAAAATTGTGCAACACAAGGTTGACGCTGAGTGAAGCCTCCGCCTCTGTAGGTATTCTATGATAGAAACGATTGTTCAGCATAAAAATACGCAAAGGGTTGTTGTGGCCTTCACACTTCATCATACAAAATGCCGACTGAGAACTGTTTTTCAACCCTTTAGGCTTGTGTCAGACTTTGCCGATCTGCTAGTAGCGACCCGCGGAATCGCTGGATTCGCAAAGTCTAACACAGGTATTAGTTTGCTATTAAGTCAGGGCGGCTGTGTCATACGGTGTTAATGATTGTTTCGCCTCCTTAGCACCTAAACGGGACAGAGCTGGGCCACTATTTAGAAGTTCGAAGTTATCTCAAGTGGGACAATTCAGGAGCGTATCACTCACCCAGTCGTCCCATTGAGGTTCAGACATGTAGAGACGTTGCACTTCCGTCGGTCGCACATAAACGACAATCGATAAAGTGACCAGTTGAATGACAAGCAACGCCAAACGTTCGATTAGCTTCCGCTGAAAGTATTGATTCCATTGAT